CTAACGCTTGCTTGTGAAACCAATTTTACGAGCAATTAGAAGACGGTAATGAGTAGTGATACCTGTTTGAGTCAGGGCTACATCGGTAACGTTGCATCCATGTTAACTCTAGGACGTTACGACTTACCGTAATTGCTTCTTCTTCAGTATCTTCTAGTGATATTCAATCTGAGTTAATCTGGCCTTGTCTCTACTAATGCTAAAGATACTGCTCTAACCGCAACAACTTTCTTTCTCCACTGATTAGGCTGCAAGGGAGGAGACAAACGAGGCTATGGAGAGGTACTATGGATGGCTCTATTTGAGTCACCATCCACACCAGGTCTTGTCGTCCTCTTATTGTCGTACAAACTGGGCGAAATGGGGGCCATGAATATGTTACCATTGATGCTTCTAGACCACGGCATGTCTGTGCCCGTTGTGGGTTTCTGGACCGGTGTTGTTGGCCAAGCATTCTCTATTGCTGGCTCGTCCTTCGCCTCGGCCATAGTGCGACGCTTTGGGTAAATCTGACTCCCTACTACATAATGCCAAGTAGCGACCATTGATGGTAGCTTAGGCTCGGTTAGATATTGGAGTAGTACTGATGGTTAAACAATTTTGCCTTATGTCCAAGAGGTTTGTGTTTACTCTATTGGTTGTCGATCGCGTTTGACATGGTACGGTCGAGTCTGTAATGTTTTGTTCACAACCTTACCAATGCTATCATTGCTTTCAAAAATGCCTAGTTGGCGTCGTAATGTCGTAGCATTTAATAGCGAATTCCTTTGATAATTTCGAGTGATTTATTTTGAGTTGTGATTTCACTCGGTATTTGTACGTCGGTTAACTTTTTCTCCGGTTCGATTTTTAAGCTTATCTGTCACTGGGACTGCACTTTGGTGGAGATTTTGTAAAACCTTCTACCGACCCGGAACTGAATAATGTGATTTTTTTTATCATGGTGTTTGGCCTTAAAGCGAAAAAAATGGCTAGTTTTTTTGCAGTTTTTTAGCCTCAAGTCTTGCTGCTTGGCACATTCATCATGAATGACTTTATAGAAGTCTTGTTCCTGCATGCATTGACAGTAATCAACCGGGTATCCATCGAAATTGTTGGTTCGTTGGTGGACGATATGCCTGGTACACGGACACTGTAGGCAGTGGGCCTCAGTGGCATAGACAGGTGTCAATTTGGTGTTCCGAGTTGGGTAACGTTCTATTCCACCAACGTCCTTCTTGTTTGCAATCAATTGATATCTGCTGTTGGTTGTTGCCATTACATGGTCCTTTAACTGAGTTTTGTCTAGAGATGCTCTTGGCACTTTAATCAGTAGCACCATTTTCAAACCTGTGAAAGTTAAGCCATCAACTTTTCGCAAATTTCATAGTCTTCAAAGCGATTAAGTTCAGCTCATAAAGCAGACAAACTGCAAAGATATTCATTGGATTTAGCCGACATTTTATGGTAGGCGGCTGAGTTCAAAGCAGCCGGAGGGTAAAAGATACCAGAGTTGGGGTCTCCCAATTATGTAAGTCCCAGTGGTAGTATACCTCGTTTTCCAGTATCCCTTGATATTTGATTTTAATCGGCCTCCGGTAGTTATCCTTATTTTGCTTGCTGTCTATTTCTTTTCACGCAGGTTTGTTTCCAGAATTGTGAAAATAATTATTAAAATCATTTGCCGCCTTACCCGAAATAACAAATATGCATTTCAAGAGTAGCATTAGCTGCAAGCAGTAGTGGGGACAACTATGACATTCCTATGGGTCAACCACCATTTGTTTTTTCATCGTACTAAGGGTTCTCCTCCTCTCCTCACTCCCACCACTCTAGATGATGAAGGGAATAAATATTGCTGCCGATAGGAGCAGCACAGGCTACCACTTCGTGTGACAGTGGATTGCTATGGTGAAAACTCACAGACGAAGTTCACTCCACTTCTGATACATTACATAGCGGTGATATGTGCTCAAGCTAACACTTATTTGCTGTAATGTCCTACTGTTTCTCCAAATGCTCATTGTGTGACCAACTGTTAAATGATCGGGCGGAAATGGAGATAAGGAGGAGACAACTGATTAAGCCTCATCAAGTAGTGTTTCGAGAACTTGGGATTCGGAGCTAATCGGACAGTCTGGGAGAAGGTGGTAGATTGCCGGAATCATCCCTTCAATAATCATAACATTTTGATTGACGGTTTTTATTTGCCAATTTTATTGGGTAAAACGGAGTAGTTTATTCATTTGGCAGTATTGTATGCACTTCAAGGAACAAGAATCTGTCGGCTCGCTGCAAACATGTGAGTGGTTAATGTTGTTGAATTGTAGGAATACGGTAGATTGCCTTCAATGGCTATTTCTCTGCCGTATTGTGATGATCGCATTGCTCACCACTTTCGCCTTCGTCATCAACATTGTCAGCCACTGGTTTGGTAAGCACCCTATTTCTCCTCCTTGTCGACATTTTTCGTTGAACCTTGCTATCGTTGATGTGGAGTTGTTATCAATGATTGGATGTAGCAAAAGAATCGGAAGCTTTTTGCTGATATTGTTCCTTTTTGAAGAGAGAATGGAAGCTCTACGTTAAGGTTGGTGAATTGCTCATGCAAACCAGGGATCCACTTACTCACTTGATGTAAAACCCTTCCGTGCTAGGGACGGAGATTTGTGTGTTTGTAAGCATGGTAGGCAATTGAAGCTTACGCTTTGGGCACTAAGGTGAGCATGGTTTGGATTTTACTTCCGTGGATGCACGGCTTCATTTCGTAGATAATCCACTTCTGTCTGTGGAGGGGATCTCGCACGTATGAAAAGAGTCCAATTCACATGTGGTTGACATAAATGTGGTTTAAGAATCATTTGGTTTAAATTCAGCCCTCAGATTATAAGTGAGAGGAAATTTTGGCATTAAAATTCTCATTCCTCTTATTACAACTCCTATTTCTCGAAACAATCACTCAAAATTGTCCTCTTTTGGAGTCTGAAAGGCGGAAACTTGGATTAGCACCTGTTAGGTCTTCGGCTGTCAAAATCGCGAAAGGTTGAACCTTGCAGGATTGAAAACGTCAGAAGTTGGATGGGACATCAATCGGTGCCCTGTCTACAATTGGCAACACCAGTTGATTTGGCTGATTAAACAGGCTGAGTGCTAACGTTTAGACGTTCGCTTGACGGGCAATAGGAAGGGGTTCCTGAAACGCCTTGTCTGTCGAAGTGAGGGATTGCTACTGTCTACTTGGAAGTAGGCTGTTTCAGTGTACGCCAGAATCATTTTTATCTGACTGCAGGTGTAGCCCTAATGAATGCAACTCTGCTTGTGAGTGGAGCTATCACTACAAATGTCTTCACCCTCATGATGGAGTGCACACGGAGCGAGGTGGCAGAAGCTGCTCGTGCTACCCATTACACAATCCTCTCTACTGCCGAGGTGCTGGGCAAACTCCTCTTCTCCTCCCTTGGCGCTGCCGCTCTCACCGACATCCTGGGTTACCCGTTGGCTTACCTCCTCTTTCTCGCACTAAATATCCTTCCACCCTCGCTTCTCAGGCTTAGTCGGCAAAGGTGGCCATTTATTTATTCAAGTAAACTAGGTTCGGGTGACATCTCCCTCGGCACACTTCTCTAAATGGTAGCCGGCTCTGGTTCTTTTATCAACGTTTCTGTTCCTTATTACATGGTCCCTGCGATGGGTTTTTTGCACTTCTAATACGGGCTTTTGACATACGCATTTAAAAGTTTTTTTTACTTTTGGCTGTCTAAGAGGTAATATAAGTACCAAATTTTTAAGCAGAAAATGCAATTCAATGCTTAAAGTTGTTTTCAAAGGGGTAATGAATTTCGCTGTGGGAAGGTGAGTTTCTTTGTGATCTGGAGATGCATTTGAAAGCTTTAATGGTGGACAGATCTCTGCGATGTCAAATTCGTGGAGGTGAGGATGTGCAACTTTCTGTCCTGAGCGATGCTTGACACCTTTCCGTGACAGATGAGAAGGGAAGTGTCCATGGCCTGAACTTTACCTCTAGAGCCAAAGTGATTCAAGGAAACCGGATTTATTGTTGGATTTTTCTTTACCAAAAATGACGTCGAGATAGTGATGGCGATTATTTCCGTCGAATGAGGTGCCTTTTGATAATTGCTTTAAATTCATAACAACCTTAGGTTAACTTATTTAAGTACGGCTTTACTGATGCGCTTCTATAGACCCTCCTCTGTCGAGATGCATAAATCAGCTGTGCTGAGGGTACAAAAATGGTATGGCAGTTGCACTTTGGAATCTTT